GTGTGTCCATCATTAAATGCTCCACATATCTTATGCTCCAATCCATTAACTTTCGTCAAAAAGTTAATTATCAAAAGAACACAAAATTGTATCTAAAAAATAAGTACAGTAACGCTCTATTTTCAAAGCATAAAAGTGTCAGAAAATACATTTTTGCTCTGATAATCATTACTTTTTTAAGTTTCAAACAAACGCTTGCAAATGCAAACTAGGGTACATAAATACCCTGGTTCGGCGTTTGTATCGCAAACAAACGGAGCCTAAGGTTTTGCAAAAATGGAAACAAATTGGTAAAATTATTAATTATGAGACATTAGAGAATCACCCCAACACAAACACTTTATAGATTTTTAGAGGCTTTGAAAAGTAGAAAATTAAGTATTCTACAACTTTTCAGATTCAAATTCAACTATAAAAAAAGCTTTTTCACTTTTTATACTTCCAGATTTCAGAATTATCAAACACTACTTAACCTAAACCAAGTTGCGACTCTCAATACAGTCCTGTGTATTTTGAGACCCATTAATGAAATGCAGACATGCCTACTTAGCATCACATCAATTGCTATTCAAGTTTAAATTATGGTGTGTTCGTATTGAATCTGGATTTACAATTCACAGAGCGCTCCAAACATGATTTTTCTTTTTTTTTTTTTTTGGTGCCAAAGCATCAAATTTATTTATCTCGTTGAAATATCAACAACTAAAGCATTAACAATGAAATCTGAGCTACTTGCCTAGGAACAAACTTTGGAAGAAGTCACAACAAATAGAGCCAAAGAGGGAGCCACTTGATTTGCTGTTCGCTTAACATGGTTGATCGAGATGAGCAAAAAAAGCTTGCTATAAGACTCTTGTAGCTTGCAATTACCATATGAATGGGCCAAGGTGGAATCAAAGACTCCACTAAAAAAAGATTTGTTACTTGTAAAGCATCACATTCGATAATAACTGGATTAAAGCCAAATTTAACAACAAATTTGCTCCCTAGGAAGAACACTATCACCTCCATCTCTAACGATCAAGAGTAAATATGTTTACCATAATACTTTGGAGCCACAATGCCTACCCTGTTAAGTCGTTGGAAACATCTCAAATAATAATGCACAAGTACAAGTGATGTTTCCGATGTGCGGTTGAGATGTGGCATGTGGAGTCGTTGGAGAACTTTTTCTCCAAACATTGGAGTCCGGATTTGCTCTTCACACCAACCTCACAACACGTCCCAATCATACATGGGGAGCATCTCCTTTACTTTGTATATAAGAGTGGATTTTGAATTGAGTCAAGATGAATACCTAGCTATTTGAGCTTAACTTGTAAAAAAATGTTCAGCTTAAGCTTGAGCTCGAGCATGATTCGAGTTAGCGAATTGAGAATGAATTTGGCTTGGCTCAAAATTTCACAACTTCAACCTCAACTAGGCTCAAGCTCGACTATGAGCCAAGCCTCCTATTAAAAAATAAAAATCATACATATAGAAATAAATTTTTATTTTACATACAAAAAATTATTTATTATTATATATAAAACATATATATATATATATATATATATATATATATATATATATATATATATATATATATATATACTATTATTAAAAGTATGAATGAGGGTGTGGAACTTTTCTTGACTAAAATGTCCATGTTTGTGTATTTGATCCATCTCTAATTATGAGGGTTGAAAATGTAATTTTAATTATTATTTTTCACCTCATTTAATCCCCTCTCATTAAGCCTCATATTAAGGTATTAACTCATATTATCTCTTATTAAATCCTATATTTAAGTTATTTTCAACTAATTAGATCTATGTCCAATACTTTTAAAAATATAGAAACATATATTTTAAAACTAGCTAGAAAACAAAATCATTATTTATCCAAGTGATGACTAAGCAATCCAACCATCCAAATCAAATTAGTCAACCCATGAAGCTATGCCAAGATAATAATTTTTTAAATATAAACAAATATAAAAAACTACAAATTTGTCAACATTTAAATATAAACAAATATTTTTAATTATCAAAATTTTAAATATAAACAAATATTTTTATTAATCAAATTTAAAAAATAGTATAATAAACAATAATTATTTTTATTGATAATGAAAATGAAATGCATAATCTAAAACTAACCAAAATGAAATTATTTTCCTGTTTGATGAAGATCAATAGTTCAACTTTTGGGCCAAATGTGTCAACCTTTGATGTCATAATTAAATAATAAAAATTAATAAAATATAAACACACAAAAATGAAAAATACATAAATTTTACAAGAAAAAACATTTGGGCACATATAAAATATCGTATATTTATCATATTAAACAAAAAACATTTTTACACACATAGAAACAAAAAACATTATAAAAAAAATTGAATACATCTATAATTCTATATTTACAATACTACTATTAAAAATATGAATAAGATTGTGGAACTTTCTTTGACTAAAATATTTTTTTATTTTAATCCCCATTTAATTATTAGCTTTAAAATGTAATTTGATCTACTACTTTTCACCTTATTCAATTCATTCTCTTTAAATTTTACATTTTTTTTTAATAAGTGAACAAAAGAAAATACACTAAGAAGATAAAACATTACAAAAAGAATAGTCCAATCAAGTAGGTAAGCCTATCAATGATACCCAAAACTTTGCAGCATAATATGAGGTGTTTACATAATCGGATTTGGATTTTACTATTTGCATTCGATTAATAATAAAAAACAAAAAAGATAAAAGATACATGAATTTTGTATAAAATTTTAGATATATTCACATGTAAAACACATGCACACCTACTAATATATATAAAATACCAACCGAATAACTGGTTTGTTCTAACGTTAACCAACACTTAGTGAAAAAAGGGGTCAAATGAAGTTATTAATGGTGTATATATTAGGCTCATAGATAACTTCACTATGCTGCAACTCAACTTACTTAGCAGCAAATCAACCTATATATCAGACTCAAACTTATCTCAAAGCTCGACCTTTTCATAAACTGAACTCGAATAAATGGTAGAAAGCTCAATTGTTTTCAGTTTTCACCCCTATTTGTGTATTATTATTATTCAATAGACGGACGTTGGAGATTGGAACGTGCCTGTGAGGTCGGTGTGAGGTACGCTCGTCAGCAAATCCTAACACCTAACATGGAGCAGCTGAAGTGATGGAGACTGTCGTCAACGGTCAACCTCCTTCTTTGCCCTAAGACAATAACCGTTTTGTCAACCAAAAAAGGGGATAATAACCGTTTTTTAAGCCATGAGACCCTAATCGTTCAACCAGAAGCTTTTATAACAAAAATTATAAAATGTCTTAAATACTCTTAAAATTAATCTTAATTATTAAATTACCCCTATCACTCTGGCTAATACACACGAGAAAGAGGGAAAGGGAGGCTGGGAGGGGCCGAACCGCCGAAGGGAGGATTGGAGGAAGCCTTCTATTTAACCGATAAAACCGGACCCATCAATAGTATTGAAAAGTAAAAAATAAAAAATTAATTAATTAATTAATTAATAAAAACGTAGGAAAAAGGCGGTTTTCTTCTCCACGAAGCTGCGAGCAGAGGGGGGTCTTATTCTTCTCGACCGGAACGAACGCCCATCGCCATTACCGACGAGCGATCACCCCCATTTCTCTCTCTCTCTCTCTCCCCTTCTTAGTATTCTTTCCATACTCTGTTTTCTCCAACCGAAACAAGGTGACGAACCAGCTCACCGCCGGTCTCTCCCTCCTTTTCTTCGTCTTCCCCTTTCTTCTCCTTCTCTCCTTTTTCTTCCTTCGTCTTTTATTCTCTCTCTTTCTCCATTCTCTTCCCTTTTGATCGAACGAATCAGAGGAGGTAACAACCAGTCACCATCGGCATCTCTGCCCTGTTTTCCCCTCCTTTCTTCTGTTCCTTTCTCTTTCCTCTCCTACTCTTTTCTTCTTCCTTTCGCTTTCCCTCTTTCTTTCTCTTTCTCCTCCCTCTTCATTTCTTCTCCTTTGGTCTCTTCTTCTCCTTCTACCATTTCTCCGCTCCTTTGTCTCCTCTCTCCTCTCTCTCCTCTCCTTCTCTCTCTCTCTCTCTCTCTCTCTCTCTCTCTCTCTCTCCCTCGTTTCAGTTCGTCTCTGCCGTCAATCAGGACTGAGACCATCATCACCGAACATAACCCCTGCTTCGGTTTCATTGCTGTTTCATTGAAACCAATCCAAACCCGACCTGCCCGTCCGTGTCTTGGTTGGATGCCAGTTCCTTGCGCACTGATCAAGTTCGTACGTAAAACCCAAACTATTGCAGTCCTGTGGTGTCTCTCACCCACCCATCGATGAAAAGGCAACATGAAGGGGTGTATCAGCCACCCTATCTTTCTTTTTTGTGGAAGCCTCCTCCAACGAATCGACTAGTTGGTTCTTCTTTCACTCTAGTTCGGTATTCCTTATCCTAATATCCTTCTATTCCTAGTTATCTCATTTTATTTTATTTGAGAAGAGGTAAAGTATCAATTCATTAAAAAAGACAAGAAAAAAGACCCATGTACAACCAGAGGCTGTACGATGGGAGAATGCATGATACATAAGACCATTATCCCATTTGTGTTTACAAAAAGGTTTTCCAACTGAAGGCAAGAAGCCAAGAACCAAGGAGAATACTCTCTACGGATAGCTGTGCAGATGACCAGGATAACAGTTTCCCAACTATTTTCTGCCACAATTCCTCCTCTTGACAGCATTTGCTTCGGAAGAGCCTTGAGTTTCTTTCCTGCCATATCGACCAGAAAACTGCTCCTGGGACCAATTGCCATAGGATTTTCGCTTTCTTGTTTAGACCTTTAATCCACCAACCTTTTACAAAAGCTTCCACTGATGCTGGGCAGCAACTTTTGATGGCAAAAATTCTGAAAAATTTCACCTAAATGTTGTAGGTGAAACTGCAATGCAGCAGCAGGTGGTCACCTGATTCTTCTATTCTGTTCCATAATACACATTCAGGTGAGTCAATCATCATTCCCCTCCTAATCGAATTTTCTTTTGTAAGAATCTTGTTCAGATAGGCAGACCAAACAAAGCAAGCCCCTTTATACTTGTCTAGATTACATACCAAGGAAAATCCTGCTCGTCCTCTGGAGCCACACCCTTCTGTCCTCTGAGTTAAAATCAATTTGCATGCTGTACAGCTTCTGGAGTGGCCTTCCAAAAGGTTCAATCTCCCAATCATTGAAAGCTCTTATAAACTGTGGGATCCAGACATGATCCCCATTCTGGAACTGCACACAGTCAGCCACTTTTGCCTCCTTATCAACTGCGACTGCAAAGAGTTCTGGGAAATCATCCTTCAACAAATTGCTTCCACACCAGCAATAATCCTGGTTCCTTTCCCTACTTCAAAACTTGATTTCCTTTCTAAAAAGACTGTAGCTCTTTTCTATTCCTTTACAAACCAAACAACCAAACGACTGATTTTTTTTTTCTCCTGGATCCCACCCCTCGTTTTTTTGTACCATACTTTGCTTGAACTACTCTTTTCCACAGACAACTCCCTTGTTGTTCAGACCTCCAGAACCACTTACCAAGCAATTCTAAGTTTAATTCTCTAAGTCTTCTTATACCCAATCTCCCATTCTTCTTTTGTTTAAACACCTTTCCCTAGTGCACCAAATGAACTTTTTTACCATCCTTCCAGTCTCCATAAGAATTCTCCCATTCTTCTCTCAATTTGAGAGACCATCCCTACTGGATTGGTAAAGCGTTAATAAGTAGACAGGTAAAGAAGACAGAACACTCTTTATTAGAGTGAGCTTACCCCATTTGATAGTTACCTAGCTTTCCATCCAGCCAGCCTTTTCTCAATCCTTTCCACAATTAGTTCCCATTTGATAGTTCTCTCATTTTATTTTAATCTGTTTTTATTGAATATAGATTGATGGTTTCCATGTCTTCTTTGTTTTTCTTTCATCTCAGTTTATTCAAAATTTTACAAAGTTGTTGAATTTCACTTACGTGATATCTTGAGTACATCCGTCTTGTTAATATATGGCAAAACTGAAATTAGATTAGTATGACCATGCATTCTTATGTCTAGACCAGGTTAATGTAATTATTGGGTTGAGTTAATAGTGAGTTATATAATTTTCTAGGTTTCATAAATATCTAGAATAGATTAATATGGTTAAATCCTCATCTTAATCCATTTTGTCATACATGATGTGTTGTACAGATTATTGAAGTAGGTTATTCCTAGTTTATGCCCTCTTTTCATATCCCCCCCTGAATCCCTTTAATATGATTTGTCCATGGTTGCATTTCATTTTATTTTATGCAACTTTCTTTTAGAAGTTGACATGAGTTATCTAAATTAGGGTAGTTAATCCTCATCTTTCTCAGAATTTAATTAAACTTAGTTTAGTCTGATAGGTTGCCCAAGTTATTTTGTCCTATTCCACTCTGTATTTCTACAGGCCATTTGAACAAGCAGATTAACTAACCCTCCTCCTTTTCCTTTTATATTTTCTTAGATTTATTTTATATGCTGACTATTTTATTGATTTTATATACTACCAATTATTACAATAAACTAATTTCCTTAACCCCCTTTTTTATTTTATTTTGAGATTTAGCAATTGTACTTTGGCTCTGCCTTAATGGTTTTGTTTTATCTAGCATTTGATCCATCATTAGTATTTTTTTTGAAGGTAAATAAAAAAATGTTAAAACAAAACAGAAAGTTCAAGAAAGGTGACCAGCAGTCACTAAAGAGAAGAGAAAACAAAACTACTTCCTCCACAACCTGACTCCAAACTTTCACACACTATTGACAGCAAACCTAAAAAATAAACTCCCTTCTTCTATCATAAACCTAAAATAGAAACAAATACAACCCGAACCCCTGATTCCTACTGACCATAAAATTACTACCCCCTGACTAACAGTAAAACCAAGCTTTAAATTGACAAGATTCCACCACAACAAAAAGGACTCAACTCCACTATTTAATCTTATCAACAACTTGAACAGCAACGTCTCTGCTTCTCTTTAAGTATTTCTTTGATCTTTTAACCTTCTTGATAGGACCCACACCAAATAAGCCCCCTTTCAGCCTTGTGAAATCTTGGAAAACTGCATCAGTTGAGTATTTTTCTGCTTTCTGAAGTGTCTTACATCATTAGGAAATTTCTCAAAATCTCTAACCTTCTTAGGACTTGCATTGATTCTCTCCATCTCCAAAACCACATGCTTCTTAAAGATCTTCTCTGCCTCTTCTCACCTTCCTCATTATCAATATTTTTTGCCCCTTCAAATGATCGAAGTCCCTTGAGAGATTTATCCACCCCTGCATTGACCCATCATTAGTATAAACAAGTGCACTTAATCCTCATTGTCATGCCACTTCCTCATTCTTGGATTTATGGCCTATCCATATTCTTTGTGGCTACTTTGGCTGATATGTTGTGAATCAATATAGAATCTATTAATCCATATCAATATTTTACTTCATATGCTCTTGTCCATATCTACTTTCATTTTTATTTTTTTTTACTTTCTATTTAAGTCTCATCAAATCTCATTTACCACTATTCTCGATATGATTACATATCACTTTTTATGTAATCACAGTGCCTATTAGTACAAGCTATTTGATTTGGTGTCCTTTTTATATTAATAATTCTCATATTGGCTCTTTAAAACAATTCCTAGAGCATCAGTACTCTTAATTTTGCAGGTTGCTAAGATGGAAAAACAACAGCTATTAGTTGTGTTTACAATTCTTGCTTGATTTATATGGGAATGGGATGCAACATTGCAAGGAATGAAAATCTTTCCACAAAAACAATCTGATCCAATGCCAGTGCTTGTATTCATAGTGTTGGGTCTCTTTGCTGTGGCGACTTCTGCTGAAGAGGACCCACTGTTGCTATCGGATGCTTGTGGTCGAGATATAAGTACCCTTCTTCCTCCTCCTTATAGCAATTCTTCTTTCTTTACCTGCGCATCTGTTTGGAATACTTTCATTTTGAGAGTAAGTCTTATTTTCCTTCAAATTTTAGTTTCCTATTGGTTTTCATGGTGCTAAGATGAAAACTTTTGAATTTCCCCAGCATTTATTTTGAGAAGTCCAATCCATCACAATTTCTTGGAGCATAGGACGTTGAATTTATATCTCTAGATGCATTATGAATGGTTTGATCATTAGGTTGTTTTTTTTTTCAATTATTATTTTGTCAAATATTCCCATCCCCGCCAGCCAATTTCTTGTTTAAGTAGAGAACTGATTGTAGTATTTTTCTGGTTTACATGCTACAAAAGTATTTCGCCATATTTTATGCACTATGCAAAGAATCCGTGGTTGGAGATAACTTTAGGAGTTAAATGAACTGAATTTTAATCCATTCAATTTGTGCGCTCAAGCATTACATGACTTGTAACTGTCTTAATATGTACACCACTACACTGTCAAAGTTTTAGCTAATAATACAAAAATTATCGTCCATCCAGTTGAATGGTTCGTAGCAAGGAAGCAAAGCATTTTTTGCTCTTGCCAATAAAAAAGTTATATCTCTGATATATTTATTTTGTCTGTTCTGTTGCAGCATTCTCAGAGCGATAACATCCTGACTATTATAGTATCTGCTGTATATACTAGCGGGTGGATTGGATTGGGATTTTCTAAGGATGGAATGATGGTTGGTTCAAGTGCAATGGTGGGTTGGATTGATGAATTTGGTCGAGCAATATGCAAACAGTACTACCTGCAGGGCTTAACCCAATCTGAAGTCATACCAGACAAGGGAGAGTTGCATCTTACTGATGTTCCAACTGTTGCCATTCTTCATGGAGCCACCATTTACGTGGGGTTTCAACTGAAGCTTGCAGGTCGTCTTTCTCGTCAACAAATACTACTGGCTTTTGGTAGTGAATATCCAGTCCAGAACCAGCTATGTCATCATGATGATAAAACAACCATTGTATTCGACTTCTCTGCAGGTTTTTTCTTTCCTTGTGCTTTCTCAAGAAAAGGCGCTATTTATTATATGTTTTTGGTATCATGTGAAATTTTTATATGTGGTATGCTGATCAATATAGTTAGGATATAAGGGAACAGTTCAGTTATCATGCTTTCAATGTGGCACTATGGTATACAAATGCATTGGGCCCAAGAGCAACATGTGAAAGATGGAATTGCTTTGGTGGCATCATCCTTTTGATTTGGAACTTTCTATGTGTTTTATCTAATCAACATAGTTAGGATATAAAGGAACGCTTCAGTTAACATACTTTCTGTAGAGTGAGTTAGCATGTTATATATGTTGCTGTTAGCATGTTAGTAGTGTTAGAAAGTTAGTTATTTCAGTTATGCTAGCTGCTGTTTATTTGATCCAAAGCACCTGGCCTAGATGGCTTCACAATGGCTTTTTATCTGGACTGTTAGGATGTGGTAAAAGATCTTATCGAGGTGTTTTAGGAGTATGTAGATACGAAAAGGGTAAGCCTTGGAGTTAATGCCCACTTCTTAGCCCTAATCCCAAAAAAGATAGATACGAAGGACCCTAAGGATTACATGCCGATTAGTCTAGTTACAAGCATCTATAAAATTCTGGCCAAAGTGTTGTCCTTAAGAATTCGAGTAGTACTACCCTCCATCATTGTCAAGCACAAGGTGCTTTCGTGCAGGGAAGGCAAATAACAGATCAGATCCTAATAGCAAATGAGTGTGTGGAAGACATGAGAAAGTCAGGGAATCATGGTTTTGTATGTAAGTTAGACTTGGAGAAGGCTTATGATCTTGTGGATTGGAGTTTTTTATTAGAGGTCCTTGGATGCTGTGGTTTTGGAGATAGATGGTGCAACTGGGTAAAGGGTTGTATTAGCTCTTGTCATTACTCAGTCTTGGTGAATGGGGTGGTCAAAGATTTTTTCCTTGCAATTAGAGGCCTTAGACAAGGTGACCCTCTCTCCCCGTTTCTTTTCACCTTAGTTGCAAATGTTTTCAGCAGATTAATCTCTAAGGTAGACAGGGAAGAGGAAGCGAGTGGTTGGAAGATAGGAAGGAATAACATTAGGGTAACCCACCTACAGTTTGCTGATGATATCATAATTTTTTGTGAAGGGGGTGACAGGAAAAAAGTGAGGAATCTTAGAGCATTGATACAACACTTTGAGGAGGTATCAAATTTGACAATAAACATGGAGAAAAATTGTGTGGTAGGTATGAATATGAATTGTGTGGTAGGTCTCCCTCTAGGGGCTAATCTAAAAGAGAGTAGTTTTTGGACCCCAGTGTTGGAAAAGTTTGAGAAAAGATTAACTTCTTGGAAAAAGAACTACATCTCTATAGGGGGTAGAGTGACTTTATTAAGAGCTACTCTAGCAAATCTACCGGTCTATTTTCTCTCCGTTTTCAGGATTCCTAATAGGGAAGCTAAGAAGTTGGAGAGATTAATGAGAAATTTCCTTTGAGAGCCAAGGGAGGAAAAGAAAGACCACCTAATTAATTGGGAAATGGTTTGTAAGAGTAAAGAGGAAGGTAGCTTGGGACTAGGGAGGTTAACTCTCAAGAATAAAGCTCTCTTAGGAAAGTGGTTGTGGAGATGGCCTAGAGAAAGGGAGAGGTTGTGGAGATGGCCTAGAGAAAGGGAGAGGTTGTGGCATGAAATGATAGCTAGCATACATGGTAGACTAGAAAATGGTTGGGATGTGGGTGTATCACGTCAAGCTACGTTGGCTTCCCCATGGAAAGCAATCCAGAGTATCCTCCCTTAGTTTCTCAACTTTGTCAGGTATGATGTTAATTCTGGTACATCTGTTTTATTTTGGGAAGACACTTGCGTGGGTAATGTTGCCCTAAAGGACCAATTTCCCTCTCTTTATTCTATTTCCCTTTACAAGGAAAAGGTTATTTCTCTTTTTCTCCCATCTCGTTTTTCACCCCCCTCCTTAAGTTGGGACTTTGGCTTTCAGAGAGGCTTGAGGGATGACGAACTTAACAGTGTTCCAGATCTGTTGTCCCTTCTTGGCTGTGTCTTCTTGGACCCCCGTAGTTTGGATGTGAGGTTATGGTTCCCTCACCCAAAAGGTTACTTTACTTGTGCTTCCTTTTTCAAATCCCTTTGTTCTTCCCAGGGACAGTGGGGTTTTCCAACCAAGGAGATTTGGTCTAGACGGTTCCAACTAAAGTTATTATTTTCTGTTGGGAGGTGTTTTATAGAAAGATTAGTACCCTGGACTGTTTGCAGAGGAAAAGGCCTTCTTTGTGTTTGTCCCCTAACTGGTGTGTACCTTGCAGGGCTAGTGGTGAGGACTGCTCTCACTTACTTGTATCTTGTTCCTTTTGTAGTGCTATTTGGAGTTGGATTTTCTCTTTGTTTGGGTGCAGGTGGAATCTGTCCACAGATTTAAATCAACTATTCGATCCTTCATTTTTTTTGTGGCCTACAAAAAAAGGAAAAATAATGTGGATATGTATTAGAGCAGCCGCCTTGTGGACAATATGGGAAGAAAGGAATGCAAGGGTATTTAAGGGTATTTAAGGAGGAAAGAAGCACTCAAGCTGTTGAGGACTGTATATTAACTAGGGCCATTCATTGGTTGAGAACTATGGACCTATTTTATACGTTCTCCTTTGATGATTTTTGGAGAAGCTGGTTAGCAGTGGCTAACAGCCATACAAGGAAGGACAGGAATTCTGTTGTGTGGATGCCTCCACCTGAAGGATGGGTAAAGCTGAATTTTGATGGAAGCAGCCAAGGAAGCCCAGGCCCTTCCGGGATAGGAGGGGAGCTGAGAGATAATGAAAGCAAAATATTAGCATTGTTTTCAAGCCTGTGGGAATAGGAGACTCCAATAGAGCTGATTTATTAGCGGCAGTACAAGGTATTCAGATTGCAGAACAGTTAGGAGTCCAGCACTTGGTAGTTGAAGGGGACTCTGAGATTGTTGTGGGATGGCAGATAGAACAAGCTTCAGCTATGTGGTGACATAGAGATATGCTAAGGAAAGTCAACTGGATCACAAAAGACATGGCTGTTACCTTTCATTGGGTGGGAAGATCAGCAAATGCCTTAGCGGATGGGTTAGCTAAGCAAGGGGCCTCAAGGGAAAATTTATTTTGGGCTGCTTTGTAATTTTAGTTCTGGTTAATTCTGGTCAATTCTGCTTTAGTTTGATGTAATATTTGTTAGAAGAGGTAACTACTCATGCTCCTCTTGGGTCTACTGTATTGCCTCATATTTCTGTTTTAATAAATTATATTCATTCATCAAAAAAAAAAATATTGTAAGTCTACTATGTTTTAAGTATTAATATAAATAGCAACTGAGTGGGGCAGCAATCATCAACTGACCCACTTTTTTTTTTGAAATCTCCTCTCTACGATTGCTCTCTTCTTCTTCTTCTTCTCTCTCTCTCTCTCTCTCTCTCTCTCTCTCTCTCTCCTTTCTTCTATTTTCTGAATTTTCTCTTGTTGAATTCTCATCTACAGTAGGACTGATTAGTCTATACAACACAAGTTGGTATCAGAGCCAACCTAGGGTTTCTCATATGAGTCCAATCAGGTCGACTGCATGAGAACTTCCTAGGGTTGGAGGTTTTAGCAAGAATAGTCCACCGGCTGGTTCTTGGAGATCACTGATTGAGTGCAGCAGCTTTTCAAGAAGTTGTAGAGCCTTGGAAAGTGTTCGGTGATCAGGAAGAATCAGAAGGAAGGAAAGATTTTCAAGAGTAGGTTCCAACAAGGATTTGAAGTGGCGGTCAGGCTTTTCTGGGTAAGTCTCAGTTTATTTTTGAGATTCAGCCACCAGAAGTTGGTTTGAGTGATCTGGAAGGAGCGGCTGGTTTTCTCTTAATTTTTCTGGACTTTCTTTAGGGTTTTTTCAAACCTACGACCAGCTCTAGTTGGTTAAACCCTAACATCCTGACTGTTATTGAGTTTTGGGTAACAGTTAGGTCTGTTTTAGTATTCAGATTGACTGATAATTACTTTTGAGAACTTGTTGGATCTGTTTCAACATTTCTGGGTGTTTGCTATACCCTTTTCAGCAGTCTAAGTGGGCTGTTAGCAATTTCTGGGTGATAATTCCTTGATAGAGATGACAGAAACTGAGTTAAAAACCCAAGGGGAAGGTGTGTTGGGGGATGGAAACATGACCGAAAATATTTTTCAGATTATTAATGTCAAATTTGATGGATCAAATTACTTGGAATGGGCTCAGTCAACTATGATGACTATTGGTGAAAGAGGAAAATTAGGTTATATGATGGCGGATGTAAAGAAACCAGCCAAGGAAGACCCATTATATGCCAAATGGGTTCAAGAGAACTATTTGGTCATGACTTGGTTGTGCAATTCCATGTAGCCTCATATTAGCTGAAATTACTTGTGGGCCAAAACTGCTAAGGAAATTTGGGACATCATGAAGAAACCTATTCCCAGCCACTTAATGTTGTTAGGTTCTATGAGTTGAAGTGTGAAGTCAATAATCTTAAGCAGGGAGAGAAATCGGTCTCAGTTTATTTCTCTACTTTGAAGTCTTTGTGGCATGAAATTGATCACCTAGAGACAATTGAGTGGGAAAGTCAAAAGGATGCACAGACATACAGAAAACAGGTTGAAACCAATAGAGTTTTTGAATTCCTAGTTGGTTTGAATCCAGAATATGATATTATGAGGCAACAATTTCTCACTAGCAAGAGTGTGACCTTGTCTCAGTCCTATTCCTCAGTGCACATTGAAGAAAGTAGGAGAAGGGTTATGCTACAATATCAACCTATGGAATCAGCCCTAGCAGCAGTGAAACCAAAGTTTGGGGGTGACAAGGAAAGGGACATGAAGAAAGAAGAAAAGAGGGAAGTAATTGTGATCATTGCAAGAAATTGAAAAGCACACAAGGGGCACTTGTTGGAAGTTGTATCCACATCTATTCAGCAAATTTCAGAAACAAAAAGGGGAATGCTAATGTGGCAATTGCTACTGATAGTGTATCATCCTC